TCCCCTCCCAAAAAAAAAATTAAGTTTTTAAAAAAAAAAAAATATTTTCAATTTCAATTCAAAAATCATTTTCTACTTTCTAGTAAAATTAAAAGATATTTTCTCAAAAAAAAAATTCATTCATAAATCAAACACTAAAAAATATTTTCTACTCACCAACTAAACATGAAAAAATAAGTCAAATATCTATTTATTTTTCAGAAAAACATTTTTTAGAAAAGCATTTTCCTTCCTACCAAACACACCTGGATTAAAAAAAAAAACAGACCTGATTTTCAATACACAAATTCGAGCAATTCCCTGCCCTAACGTTTGTTGCTTGTTAAAAAGGTCTACATTCCCTCGCTAATGGAGTTAATATCTTAGATGGATACTCAATTTTGAATTGTTCATTTAGAAAGTCACTCAACTTTGAGTTGTTCTCTTAGAAAGTTACTCAACTTTGTTTTATAGCTTAAAAGTCACTCAACTATCGATGTTTCACTTTGAAAGTCACTCAACTATTGATATTTCACTTAGAAAGTCACTCAATCAATTTAAATATTTTTTTCATAAAATTTTATTGAAATTCATTTTTTATGTTAAACTACTTTTTTAAAGAAATAATAAGATATTTATTTTAATTATTTTGTTAATCCAAATTATTTAATAATAATTTTTTTGGAAAACGTACTGTAGCAATTGACCCAATAAAAAAACTTTTTCCGTTTTATCAATTATATAACTAGAATTAAATATGTTAAAAAATTATCCAAAAAAGAAGAAGTTGGAATTGATAAGAAGTACAATAAAAAATAAAGACGCACCACAGTACCATTTGTATAATAATTGAGTTTAAATAGATAGTGATACATGGGTGGCAAGAAATATGATATCATGAATAAATAGAGTAGTTGAGAGTTTTTAGGATTTTTAAAAATAGTTACTCCCTCCGTCCCATTTTATGTGATGTACTTTGATTTGGCACAAACTTTAAGAAAAATGGAAAGACTTTTAAAACTTGTGGTCCAAAATGAATGATAGAAATTTGTGTGGTTGTAAATCATTTCATTAAGGGTAAAAAAGACATTTTATAGGCAAATTGTTACTTAAAATAGAAATGTGTCATTCTTTTTGGGACTGACTAAAAAGGAAAGTGAGTCATATAAATTGGGACAGAGGGAGTAATTTTTTTTGTATTTTACAAAATTTAATGAAAAAAATAATTTAAATTAGTTGGGTGACTTTTTAAGTAAAATATCAATAGTTACGTGTCTTTTTAAGTGAACTATTAATAGTTGAGTGACTTTTGAATTATAAAACAAAGTTGAGTGACTTTTGAAGTGAACAACTCAAAGTTGAGTGACTTTCTAAGTGAACTGTTGAAAGTTGAGTGACCATCTGAGATATTAACTCCTCGCTAATGCCTAGGGTCTCTCTAAGGGTTCCATTTTATAAAGGATCCAGTAATATTGTATCTTACGACGCATAATAGATGGCAGGTATCTTGTTCGCATTATTTGCAGCAGGTGGCGCTGTATATGGGTTCCTGAAAACACCGAAAATGAAATCAATGGTTGATTATCTTACAAGTCGGTAAGAGCAGAACGAAATGAAGTACCTGAAGCTGGTGCTTGAGAATGTGAATTGTCCTTGAGACGTTGTTGCCAACTAAGAGCCGCACAAAGAAGGGCTAATGATTTTCCAATACCGGCAGGAACCTCGATCAGCGAGTGTAATGAACTAGCTGCCTCTGTTCTACAGAGTGTCCTCAGGACTATTCTAATGACGCCGATCTGTGGGAAGTAGGGCCTGTAAGGGAATTCCACAGAAACGCCCTCTATAACATATCCTGGTACGGGTTCATGCAATTGGATCACCGATGGCTGCAGACCACGAGAAGGAATCACCATTCCTGCACTGCATTAAGGGGCGGTTCGATTATTGGGTAGAGTTATGCAAATATTAATTATGCAGGGTTTACTTTATATAGGTATTAGTTATATAAGTTTTAGTTACATAGGGTTTAGTTATGCATGGTTTAGTTATATAGGTATCCGTATTAATTATGTAGAGTTTAGTTATGCATGTATTAATTATGTAAGTTTTAGTTATATAGGGTTTAGTTATGCAGATATTAGTTATGCGGGTATTAATTATGTATGTATTAGTAGTGTATGTATTATTTAATTATGTTGAGATTATAATAGGGAAAGGGCATAAATCCAACCCTAAAGTTGTCTCGAAAAGTCAGTTGCACGTTTAAACTATTTAAATAAATTCACTTTAAAATAATTAAGATGTGTAATATGTCGTCACAATATTTTAAGCGTGTAACTGACTTTTCGTAATAAGTTTGGGGGGAGCCGGGGGTGGGGGAATTTATGTCATTTCCCAGAATTATTAACTATTGAATATTTAATTTGTTGTAACCTAATATTTATTATTTGCAAATAAATAAGTAAACATTATACTCCCCCTTTTTGAATAAAAAGTAAGGGAAAAAAAGTTCTCCCTCTATATTGAGGACTTCTATTTTTCCTTGTTGCTATTTTTTCAAATGTTTCTAGCTTATAAAAATAAAAGTAAAATAGAGCAAATAACATTATCCAACCAATTTAATCAAAACCTAACTCCATTTACACTCCCCTAGAATAGGGATTTTAGCCAATCATGTTAAAAGTAAAAGAAAATATACTAAAAACATTCTCGACCATCAGATTGATGATTTGCAACTTTAATTTCAAAGACTCACTTCAGAATTCCTAAAAATTATGAGTTATGAGCTTGTTCCTCACTATACAAAATAGAAGTTTCGATTGTATTCTACTCAGAAAAGTTTTAGATCCAGATTGTATGAGCCAAAAATATATATTTTCTCTCCTTTTAGCTATTTATAATTCCATAAAAATTAGTCAAAACTTCATAAATTTTCCAAGTCGGTGATGCTAGTCGTGCTCGCCGACTGATTCAACGAGTCGTCGTCTTGTTCTCTTCTTGCCTTTCTTGTCTTCAGGCTTAAGATGTTTGAACCACAGCTGGCGAGCTCGATGGGGTTCACCTTTCACATTAGGCGAGTTGCCGACCATCACCCAATCTCACCTTTTTGGCCTTCAACTTGGCTTAAATGTTTAGTAACTTTCGACCTGCACTTGTTAGATCCCTGATTAAGTTTGGCTAGACGCCATTTAGATCTTCTTCTTGCCGACCTATCTTGAGAATTTGAGTTAAAAGTCTTATCATTTTAGCCGAGGTCTAGCATATTCGTCGAGTCGCCGAGTGTTTTTTGGCTAGCATCAATGTCATGATATTGCTTTTTTCCATGTTTTAGCCTCTTTTTGTGTGATTCATCCTTTCCTTGTCCTTGAGCCTTCATATCTACAAAATACAATAAATCATTAAATATGGACTTAAAAATGCATTAAGGATAATAATTATTGAACTAAAAAGGCCTCAAATGAGTCAACATCTCTAACTCATCACGGAGCATACTTAAACAATTGAGTGAACTTCAGTGAGTACTCCTTCACACTCATGTTCCCTTGCCTTAGATTTATGAACTTTTGCACGTTAGCTTCCCTCATCTCAAAGGGAAGAACCGATCATGAAATGCCCCCTTGAACTTTTCCCAATCCAAGGGACCCGTATCCAATCCCCTTTATTCCTTCCATTGATCATACTAAGCTTGAGAAGCCCCTTTTAATTGCTAAGAGACCAATTTTGCCTTGGAAAAGAGAGTCATGACCTCCATGATGACCAAAATCTTATAGATTCCCTTGAGGAAATCTTGTGGATTCTCATCCACTTCCGATCCAAGAAATTAGGAGGATTCATCCTCGTGAAGTGTCTAACCTTTGTTGCCGTCGTACCCACATTTGGGGTTCATGGGATCTACAATATCCCTATTTATTTGAGCGGTCATGTCTTGGGCCAACAATTAGGTAGAACCCCTAAACTCCGCATGAGACACTTGCTAGCAAAAGGATTAATCAGAACTTGAAGAACTTCGAGTTCCACATTTTAATTGACATTCCTTCTTAATAAAGCTCTTCTTGAAGGCTTATTTTTAAAATGCATAGAACAAAAGTTAGAAGGAAGACCTTAATAGAGTTCAACTCTATCGTATGACTTTAGTATTGAAAGAGTTAAAGTTTCCTAAATATTTTGTAGCCTCCTATTCATAAATATAAAGCACTTCACAATTGAGAACAAGATTCTACTTGACGCGACTTGTCAGACTCTTAGAACCTTTAAAACCTGATGCTCTTAATACCAAGTTATCCATTGAATTAGTCGAGGTGTGCACAAATTAGTGAAATAGAAGATTATAGATCATTCAGCAAAATGTTGATTGAAGAAATCGGCTCCTCACTAGATCCCATCTGTCTTGTTGCTTCCAGCTCGAGCCATCAATATTTTGTAAATGATACATCTTTATCTTTATCATACACTCCAATCAGATGAACTGAATATGTTTGCTAATATAATGCAGTATTGAAGATGTTTTCACATTTTTTAGAAAGGTCTTCATACTATCCATAAACTTGAGTTGAAATTTTTGGTGGAAAGGAAAGGGCCGGTAATGTAACAGAAGCACTGCATCACTATCTTTTCTCTTCCCTCGTCACTGTTAATAGTCAAAATTCTACTAACAATAACTTGGACTTACATATTGTAACAGGTGTTTGTTATCACACTGAAAGGAAATAACGTTCTTGATATCTCCATATATGCAAAACCATGAATGTGAAATAATGAACCAAATGTTGCATAGTGATATCAATAAATGAGATACTCCTCTGTTTAAAAAAGATTGACCCTACTTTCCTTTTTATTCAAAAGTTTTTATTTATTTTCTTAAAATCTGTGCCAAGTTAGTTTTTTTTATTTTCTTAAAATTCGTGTCAAGTCAAACTAAGCCACTTTTTTTTAAACGGAAGGAATACTTATTTCAAAAGGGAAATGAAGGAATATTGCATACTAATTTACTTCGATCAATGTAGACACACAAAATAGATTTCATTGTGGGATACGTCTTCCATATGGAAATGGAAAATCATGGTTGAACCTTTGGAATAGACACCAATAATTTAAAGATGTAAGAGACGAAACAATAATGTTGCAGCAGCCACCACTACCCTAGCATTGAAGATGAAAAAATGGGTATATACTTGTAAAAATAGGTAAAATTTCGAAGTTAAAGTGATAAAGTAGCTTACTTTTACTATTTAAGACACTATAAATAATTTTGAAACTGCAGATCAAGTAGAAGCCCCATAGTACAGTAGAAATTAGCCAAGACAAAACATGCTAAATTGGGATCAGAACTCAATTATCCCTGTTGGAATCAAATGGAGCAGAGAAGACTGTACAATTCAGCAGTAAAAGATGGATATGTCTGAGTCGGTTTGGAGGGGTGATAAAAAATAAGTACATAGAAAAAGAAAAAAATGAGACTTAACTCAAGATAGAGATCCAAGTCCAACAACAAATTTGCAGATTTCGACTAGACCAACTTGGAAAATGTTCCTCATATAACTATGATCTTGTTTGCTTGAATAAGCTTTAAAAAATGAAGGGAAAATGGTTTGAAAAATATTTCAACTTTGGTCAAAATTGTTGTTACGATACCAAACTTTATGAAAGACCTTTTATCCATGCACTATTTAATAGTTTAAAGGTATATATGTACCCACGTGGACACATTACTATTATAATGATGCAATATTTATGATGTCTACGTGGGCACATATATATCTTTAAAATACACTATTAAATAGTGTAGGAGGTAAAAAGTCATTTCTAAAGTTCGATATTGCTACATCAATTTAGGTCAAAGTTCGAATATATTTCAGACCTTTTTCCCAAAGATGAATGAAAGATCTTAGCAACATGAAAACAACTCAATTAGAGGGTTCTCAAGGTAGTAGAAATTATGATGAAACTGAACGGTAAGTAAAATAACGAAGATTCATCATTATTTCTACCATAAAAAAGTTTCTTAAATAAAAATAGTCTTGTTAACACATTTCTGGGGAAAAACAAGAACATCTTAGCAATGACATATGAAACAATCAGGAAACGTTAACTTCTATAACATCTCTACTTAATCTAGGCAGTTGGCCCAGAGAACAAAAGTCCTTAGATATATGCATATTGAAAGTTCATGACTTTTTCTTTTTATCTTAGCTTAATCACAATATTTCAATTAAATCTCAGAAAAGAAACTACCCATTTTTATACGAAATTTCAGAACTTGACCTTCAAGGAATTTAGGCCTTTTAATTAAAGAGGTTCAGTGTTAGATTATGAATTTTATGTTGCAATATCATATAAAGTTAAAAGGGTTAACATTGCCTCAATAGATCTCGTCTTGAGGGTGCATAAGTGGATTTTCGTAAACCTCAAAAGTTGATGTGAGTAAAATCCTAATTTTTCAAAGAAAAAATCCTTTTAACCATAATGGTAAAATCGAATGCATATTCACATTATAAACTGGTTTTATTTATGACATTTTTACCCTTATTTATCAAATTTTTTTATTAATTATTTTTCAATAATGAAAATGTTTCCCAATACATGGGGAATGAACTAATTTCCATATTTCTATTACTTTCATAAATGCATGTGTAATCATTTAAAATTTATTAAATATAAATTTATAAAATGATTTGATTATATTAAATTCATGAATATATTAGTCCAAATAAATATTATAGATTAATATAATTGGGTTAATTATTTTAGCCCAATAAAAATGAATTTAATTAGAGTCCAAATTAATTAATTTGGGCTACAATAGATGAACCAAATTTGCTAAGCTCAATATCATCTCATCCTAGAAGCCCATTTTAATATCCAGTGGCAAATGACGTGGCATGCCAATCAAACAAAGAAGCCAATAGGATCATCT